AGGAAGGCACTAATTGAAAGCCAAAAAAATGAGCCAATCCTTATCTATGTGATTCACATTATGGGAGTGGTGCTCTCCATTAATCTTAGGGGAGTGAGAGCTACAGAAACCCACTTGGTGAGCCTTAAATGACTCAACTTGGGGGAGTTAAAGTCAATGACTTTGTATAGAGCTTCTATTTAAATAAATTTATACAAAGATGAGCTTTTCCTATTCGTTACTATGTGAAAAAAAATTAAATAAGGTCTGATAAACATATTGAGGAAAATTGTTCCATTCCTAACACGCTAGCGGAGAAAGAACTCATGAACTTACAAATAACCACCACTTCAGTGCTCAAGTATTATACCTTTTGATAGATGGAATCAATAATATAGCTAAGAGTGATGTAGGAATAAACCTTCTATAACAATTTGAAATATGAAAAAAATAACTATAAAATAAATATTAGGAAAATATGAAATTTATGAACTATGGCGCTGTAGCGCTGTGATTTTGATCACAACGGCTCTAGGTAGAACAATGATGGGGTGCTAGAATTCAATGTTGCAGTGCTGATGCAGTTTGTTCTATAACTATGGAATGAGCATGCTGTGTTATGGTGCCAAGTTAGAGTGTCGTAATTTTAGGCACTATATATATATTCCAACCAGCCACCCTCCCCCCTTATTTTGTTTTCTTTCCTAGGAAGGAGCCAAGGAATGAAAAAAGAGAATAAAGAAGAGAAGAGAAGAAAGAAAGCTCTCTGGAGCTTTTTTCACCCATCTTTTTTATTATAAAAAATATTTTGATCATAGTAAGTGACATCTACTCTACATCTATTTTTTATGATTTTGAGTTTGTTATATTTTTCTCTCCTAAAAGTTATAAATTCAATATCTCCTGATTTATTGAATTTCCACTTTGTAATTGTTGGTATGTGATAGATATTATTATTCTAAATATTTTGATTAGCTTATATGATAATTTCAATGATTGGTTTTATATGTATGTTATTTTACCGAAAATAAGTAGGGAAAACACTGTCTGCAAAATGATCAAAAGATAATGTACTGAATCCGAATATGAATAATTGATATGCATGTGGTTGATGTTCATTTGGTAATGACATGCATTATAGTGTAATATATATATATATATATATATATATATAACGAGCACATTATTAATTTACATGCCATGATGAAGATGATAAATCAATATACTGATAACTTGATGGGGGTTATGGTGTGAACTCTTTAATTGTATAAAAAATATAGGCTTTTATCACCCCTAAACAATGCTTAGATTTTTTTTGATATAAAAATAGTAAAACCCCACTTAATATACACGCACATATATATCAAATCAAGTAATAAAGTGATAGAATAGAGTGTCAAACCAGAGAGAAAGTATGCTTACTTGCAATAAAATACTACTGCCTACTCTAATTATAATAATTATCCTAATGAAATAAAAATGATATTTTTGAAGATTTTATCACTAAATAAAATAGTAAAAATACATAATATTTAATTAAAGTGTTTTGGATTGATGAGTATAAATTATATATATTTCATAATGAGCCTTAATTATATATGTGATCTAGAGCATATGCATCCCTAGATCTCTGTCGAGCTTATAGTGGTGAAAAAGATATTTGCTGATCTTCTACAATGATAATATCTCTTTAAGAACCTAGAATATTTTATATCCTATATCTAGGCATGTAAATATCTTATCTCAATATTCCTGATTATTCTTACATTCCTTCTTCGAGGCTATACATCGCACTATATTTTAACTATGCATATGGAAACTATATATATTAAATAAAGAGCATAATAATATTAAAAATATCCTTTAATAACTATAGAATAAGATTCTTCATTAGTACTTAACGTACGATTTACATCATCAATCCAAAATAAGAAAATTAGCCAGACATAGAATGAATAACAAGTAAACTCATTTTTATTAAATTCATGGAAGAATGAAAACACAACAGAGTGATATCACCAGTAAAGATCAAAGTATCTCCCTTACACTCCTCCCTTTAAATTACAGAGTTGCTTCAAACTTACTACTTCAATGATTGTATCTTACACTTCCTTAGCCCCCTTTAGATTTTATTCTAAGAAAGAATTAGAGAAGTACTCTAAAAAATACTGAATTTCATACAAGTGACTAAACTCCTATACAAACATAACATCATAACTATTTATAGAAAATATAAAAAAGCATATGGTGCTACAACACTTGAATTAATGGCACTGCAACGCCCTTGAAGTGAACTAGTGCATCGATGCTGAAGCTTTTGCATTCACGCGGCTCCCTCTAACATGGATTAGTCATTAAGTGAACAATCACATCTTTTTATTGAGAGAACGTGACCCTTGAAAATTAGAACTATAACATCTTGGCGCGCGCTGATAACATTCGAGCTCTGTGGCACCCAAGTAGAAAAAATGGCGCGAATGCATGAGAAATTATTTCACTACGTCATTTAAAAATAAAGAATCCATCGCTGCCCCGACACTAGTAATGCTGCGACGTTGGATGTGTTATCGCCGCCGCACTTACAAATAGAGAACTCGGTGCCGTAATATCTAATTTATGGCACCTCAGTGGTACTGAATGTAGCGCTGCGACGTTGCAGACTCCTTAAAATTTTATGCTATTTTTTATTTTCTCCTGTACAAAAATAACTAAAACAATATATTTCTACTAAAAATAAAATATATAAAATAATATGTAATTTACACTTGTCATAATTGCATTAAATACATATGATATTTATTATTATTATGATTAAAATGATGTGTGTGTGCATGCTACTTTGTACAGGAGGAACTTTCCTTAAAATAAAAGTTATGATATTAACATATATGTTAGCATGTAACCGATTGATTGATTACGTTGACGGACAAAGAGGGACGACTCTTTATTGATAGATTAATTAGAATTTCCCAAAAAAAAGATGAATCAATTAGATTAATTATTGATGGACATACTAATAGATTGATGGATGACAAATATGATAGATAGATATGACAAATAACAAATGATAGATAAGATGGATGATTGATAAGACATATATACGATAAATTGATTATTGAGGACAAATTACCGAGGAGATAGATTGACTGATTGAACATACAATTCAGAGCCTTTTCCACATATTTTTCTATAGTGATATCATATATTTTTAATTATTTTCTTTGTTGTAACTACTCTTCCAACACTCAAAATCCTATAAATAAAATGAAAAAAGCCATTTGTTGAGGACATATATATTATAACATGCACAATAATTTATCTACGCATTCTTTGCTTGTAAGGGGATCTGCATAGCAACTCTCCTAGAATTCTTTGATTTTTTTTCTTCTCTATTTCTTTCTCTGCTCTTATTTTTGTCACAACCTTGCTAGTCTTGCCAGTAGAGTTCGAGTGTCACTCACAAATAAAATTAGATCCAATACTATTCTCTTCCATGCCTTTCATGTTTTGAAGAGTAAAAAAATATAAATGATTATTGCATTACAATTTGATTGTATTAGCATCCTCATTTTTTAAATTAATGTGCTAGAGAGAGAGAGAGAGAGAGAGAGAGAGAGAGAGAAGAAAACTAATAATGGTAATTCTCCAATGAGATTACTATTTGCTAATAAGGAAATATTTCATATGACTACATATCAGAGGCTTCCATAAACTAATTTGAGTAACATTAAATACACAAATATATGGTTAAGGAAACAACTCAAACTTTTTTTTTAATAAAATCATAATTGCATAAGATGTGATGCAAATCTTATTCATTATTATCCAATCAATGATAATTATATGATTACACATGCTAATGAGGATAAATTATATGATTACACAAACTTTGATCATATATATTGTAGTGAAACTATCTAAGCTTACTTTCAATAATGTTGAATTCATTGGCATCCTTGTTATGACGTCCGATCTCTTTAAAGTAATAATTAGTGACAGTTCAATAGCCCCAATATTACAGAATGATAGTGCTCATTGTTTTCGTCAACACAATACTTAGTTGTTTAGATTAGTAATATTTATCAATAAATAATAATCACCATACTTTACATTTAAATTTGATAGCCATTCATATGTGTATTTTCATCTTGAGACAACTATATAATATCATTAACCTGTTTAGGACTAGCACATCATAAATTATCGAAAAGACTACAATAATTTGAATATACAAATGCAATTAAAGGTTCGTTTGGTACATCTATAGACCAATATTTTTTCCCACTTTAAAGAAATTTTTTACTAAAAAATAGCTTTACGAAACAGTAAAAAAGCTATCCCAAAAGAAGCCTAAATGGAAACCTTATTAAACTACTTCGATCCGTGTAATCAATCACAAATCAATAAACACTTCAAACTAGCAAAGCATGAGTTGATGGCCAACTCCCATCTAATAAAACTCAATATTTCTATGATTTTTAAAATGATGCCCTCAAATATTAAATTATCTTTATAACATAGTATAGTACTCTACAAATTTGTAATACAATTTATCATAAATATAAATATTCATCTATCTTATATTATCTTTATATTATTTATGATAATTTAATTATAAAAAAATATTATATAAAAATATATGGAAATTATTAAAAATTATCTTAAAAACATAAGCTCAACCACCCAACATCACACTTAGTCGGGATACCTCAGCAATTGGTGGGCGATTGGCGCCACGCAGCCAATACTATTTTTAAACTATTTTTGGGGGCTAAGTTTCAAAATATTTATAATAAAAAATAGTTTATCGGCGAAATTTCTCCCTACCGGTTCCGCTTAGGCTCCGTCACAACTTACTAACCCTTCCATGGTCCTTTCTTCGGGTGCGAAAGTTAGGTGGGCAAATCTTCCTGCAGTCCACTGACCAAACACTTTCATAGCTTATTATTATTATTTTATTTTCTAAAATAGAAAAAAATCAATGCATTTAGTTTTTTATGGCTATAAATACGCGCTTCGAAATGATTGATCGATCAGCAAATTTTCCGTCATCTCCGGTCTTCGAGATCTTCACCTCCCCATCCCCCTCTCCCTTCGCTAATCGCCGTTGTAAAAATGACCGCCGACAACGCGTTATCCTCCACCACAGATCAACGGAAAACGGTTTGTGTCACCGGTGCCGGCGGCTTCATTGGATCGTGGCTCGTGAAGCTTCTCCTCGAACGCGGTTACGCCGTGCGCGGAACAGTTCGGAGTCTAGGTATTACCCTAATCCCCTTTCCCTATCCCGCGTTTTTTGTTCTCATCATCTCCGTTTTGATCGATTGAGAGAGTTTTGATCCATTTGGGGCAGATGAGGCGAAGAACAAACATCTGAGGGAATTGGAAGGGGCATCGGAGCGGTTGGTGCTCTGCAAAGCCGATCTGCTTGATCTGGACGGGCTTCGTGAGGCGATTAAGGGATGCGAAGGTGTTTTCCACCCGGCTTCACCGGTGACTGATGATCCTGTAGGGCATTGCTTTTTTTGTAATCTTTTGAATTGATTGAGGGGTGCAGCTGGGTGAGATGTGTTTGTTCTGTGTTTGCGTGTAGGAACTGATGGTGTATCCGGCAGTTGAGGGGACGAGGAATGTGATCAGGGCGGCGGCGGAGGCTGGAGTGAGGCGGGTGGTGTTCACGTCTTCGATTGGGGCTGTGACGATGGATCCTAAGCGCGGTGACGATGTGGTCGTTGATGAGTCATGCTGGAGCGACCTGGAATTCTGTAAGCAGACTAAGGTATTGATGATTCCTCTTGTATTTCTTGATTTAAAATACTGGAATTTTTCGGAAGAATCAAATCCTGTATTTTAGCTGTTTGTTTATTTGTTCTTTTCATTAGTCTGATCGTTTTCGGAAGGGACATTGCGTTTCGAAATGGAAGGGTTGGGAAATAGTGATTAGTTAGAAAGAGAGGAAAAAAATGATATACGGTTCCGTCATCCATGTCTTTTATAATTATTTGAGCATTCCCTTTTTGTGTTTTTGAGCGAATATGCAACCTTATGAAAATATTTAAATCATATTATACTTATTTTAAAAGAATTCCCCAGTGAACATAAATTATATCTCTTTTATAATTTCTTACAAGTGAATTAAGTGATTGAATTGGCTTTAAATGGCCCACTGTGAACTCGCTCGAATCTAATTCGACCAACAACAAAAAAATTAATTAAAATCAGTTGTTTCACTCAACTCTTTACGAACGTTATATCAAAAGATCGAACAATTATCATGATAATGGAGGAGGATGAGAAGCCTCGCCAATTGGGATATGGATTTTGTCTAATTGCTATTTTGGTTGCTTTGATTGAATATATCCTATCAATTTCGATCATCAGGCATGGAGTTCTTTCCAAATTCCATACTATAAGCCGGAAGTACAGAGAAAAAAAGATGTAAAGCAGATATTGATTGGAAAAAAAATGAACATCTTAAGTTTATATGCCAGACTTGCCAGTATTATATGTTATGAAGGTTAACTGGTTAAGGTTTCATTAAGTGAAGCTCCTAGCTCCTGATTCAGATTCGGATTACTCATAATCATACAAAAGTTTTAGCATGTTAAAGTAATATTATTTCTCGCGTGAATCCGATTATTTATATTTATGTTTTAACTTAACCAAAAACAATTGAATATATTAATGAAACTGTTTTTAAAATAATAAAACCATCGATACCGAAAATTGAATAACAAATAAGAATTTAACAGTTTCAAACATGAACCCAAATTGAATTAAAAAGTGTGTGATGATTAATTTTATGTTAATTATATATTTTGATTATATTTTCAAAAAATAAATCCATCTTATTTAACAAAATACAGAACTGGTACTGCTACGGAAAGGCGGTGGCGGAGCAGGCGGCTTGGGACCTGGCCAGGGAGCTCAGGGTGGATCTGGTTGTGGTGAACCCGGTTCTGGTGCTAGGCCCACTTCTTCAGGCGACTATAAACGCCAGCGCGATGCACTTGCTCAAGTATCTGGACGGCTCCGCCAAGACCTACACCAACGCCGTTCAAGCCTACGTCCACGTCCGCGACGTCGCCGACGCTCACATTCGCGTCTTCGAGGCCCCAGCCGCCTCCGGCCGCTTCATCTGCGCCGAATCCGTCCTCCACCGCGAGGACCTCGTCCGAATCCTCGCCAAGCTCTTCCCGGAGTACCCCGTCCCAACCAAGTAAGCAACCCACCCCACCTCCCCCATCTCTCTCCCTCTCTCTCTCACCGACACGCACAGAAAAATTGCCTCTTCATTATGAAAAATGTGAATTTTAATGGAAATTATTATGAAATTAAAAAAAAAATGAAAGGGTCAAATTTTACCTCATTGACAAATAATGACAAACAATATATTATTTTACATAAGCGGATATATGATTGAAATATGAGTTGTCTTTTCCCCAGCCGCCTCCGGCCGCTTCATCTGCGCCGAATCCGTCCTCCACCGCGAGGACCTCGTCCGAATCCTCGCCAAGCTCTTCCCGGAGTACCCCGTCCCAACCAAGTAAGCAACCCACCCCACCTCCCCCATCTCTCTCTCTCTCTCTCTCACCGACACACACAGAAAAATTGCCTCTTCATTATGAAAAATGTGAATTTTAATGGAAATTATTATGAAATAAAAAGAAAGAAAGAAAGACGGTCAAATTTTACTCATTGACAAATAATGACCATAGTCAAACAATATATTATTTTACATAAGCGGATATATGATTGAAATATGAGTTGTCTTTTACATATTGCCTGTGCGGACTAAAGACCCGAAAAAAAAAAAAAGAAGATTAAATTACGAAGTAGGTTGCCGGTAATTTTTACTTGAAGCGTCAGTGGATAAGATGCATATGTCATAATTTGGTCTCATTTTTTATTATAAAAATTATTTAAAATAAGCGTTCGATGAGTGAATTAATAAAATAACATTCATCTTCCGAAAAAAAAAAAAAATCTTTTAACTTTCTTCGATCTACTTATAAAAATAATGTTAAATATCTTTCGCGTTTTTATTTGTTTTATCATGCATTTTTGTAGAACGTGTCATAGCTTTTTCCACATGCAGCACGGTCGCATAGGCGTGGGCACTCATGTCTGCGCACTCTCGATTGTGACTGCTTTTGTAAAACCCTAAATAAATAAATGAGTTTATATACAAAACTATTTTTTAATGAACTCTACCAACCTCGACCTAACACGGAGAAATAATCGCTAAAATTGATCCAGTAATTTAAAACTGTAAAATATAAATTAAGACAAATAGCACCAGTTTAATACAATATATTAAACATAAATTTAAATAATTTAAGAATATAAAATGAAACTAACATATACTTCAATAACATTAAATTAAAAAATAAATAAATTAAAAATAATATGAATCGATCTTTTATAAAGAAATGGTCTGCTTAAATTGAACATCTCAAAAATGAAAATTGTGAATTTATAAAATCACTTCTAATTAATTAAGCATAACTATGATGATCGAGTCCAACAAGAGTCAGTGCATAACAAACTTTCATAAAGGTTTTTTTTTTCTGCTTTACCTCTAAGTGTGACAAAACAAGTGTGGGTCTGATGCCAGTGAGTGGTCTTGTTAGATTCCACCGAGAGATTAGCTACGCCACCAAGCATTCTCTTTGAAATGACAGCGGGTAACTACCCTCGTTCCTTAAAAAAAAAAACTTAATCCCTGATAATTTGCTATGTAACTAACTAAGATAACGAAATCTCCTGTTGTATTTTAAACATTGGATCTCGGAACTTTAACCTCTTTTTTGTTCTAAATAGTACACTTTCTTTTAATCATAAGAATTTTTGCAATTCTTTCTAAATAGGACGCTTAAAAAATCGTAAGTGTATAGCTATACGACCAAAACTCTTCACCATTGGCTTTCCAAAAAAGCGAGTTTTGACCCACTACGCAAGGGCTAGTTGTTAATGTCGAGGGGCAGTTGGCGATAATGACATCTGATTTCCTAATTGTATAAGGAAGGATTAATCATAAAAATAGCTTAAACCCATTAATAAACCCAATCAAAGCCCTCAGGAGGCATCGTTCCACAACTACCCCACGACTGTTCCTACCGTTCTACCAAATCTGTCACTAAGGTTTTGTTTGGAGTGATTTTTTTTAGTACAATAATTTTTTGAACTAAAAATTTTTATATATAAAAAAACTATTTTATATTGATGCAGGTGCTCTGATGAGATTAATCCAAGGAAGAAGCTATACAAGTTCACTAACCAGAAGCTGAAGGACCTTGGCCTGGAGTTCACGCCCGCGGCCCAAGCTGTCTATGAAACCGTGAAGAGCCTGCAAGAGAAAGGCCAGCTACCCATCCTCTCCTAACACCATAACACCATATATCTGCTTGCGAGGTCGTCACTTTTTAAGTTTCTCTCAATAGCAGTTTTATAAGATTACTATGTAATAGAATAACAATATGAGAAATGTTTCTTCTACCACCATAATTCAACACTAATTATATACATATAAGGGTGCGATGTTACCATCACACTCTTATCCCACACTTCTCTCATATATATATAAACCTGTGTTGAATTTTGTGGTGTAAGAAGCATCTATCTTCCTTAATATATATTGTGAACAAACTTGGTACCTTATTGCTTTAATTTTCATCTTATTGTGGAAACTTTGACAAGCCAGTTCTACTGGTGTGTTAAGCGGTTTTATATGCTGAATCTTGCAAGTTTCTTCTGGGTAAAATATTGGTTATTTGATATGATGAAGCAATTTCTTGAGTAGAAAAGAGGCTGTTTTTAGAAAATTAGGAAATATTCTAAAAACTGCATTCGATCAGTTTTAGAATTTACCTCAGATTAAACATGTTGATAGCCAAATAATTTCCCACATTTAACACTCAGATTTAAATCTTGGTTAATAGGATTTATTACATTGAGATTTGGCTAAATCCTACTTGCTATCAAACAAGCCAAGGATATTTATACAAGGATTATGACATATCTAATCTTCTAAACCAAGCATTTTGCGACCTGTCTACATCAGATAAAGTTGCTTTGTGTTTAAGCGGAGTATTATTAACTCTTTAGGTACGTTTTGTTTGGTTAGTACGAAAAGAGAGTTGGAAAAATAAATTGAGAAGGCAATGACAATGACAAATGAAAAGGATTGAAATCTATATATTTTTACTGAGAAATTGAAAGCATTTACTCAAATTGAATGCCAAGTGTGCCATATCAACCCATCTGAAGACTTAACAATATCAACAAATAAGGATGAACCAATCTTACCAAGGCTTCTATAGAATTGTCGTGACACAATAGTTCTTTGGAAAGTAACCCTATTGAGAAGAAAGAAATTTATAATAGCACAAATTACCTCACCAATGATGCCCTAAGAGGCAAAACTAAACCCATTGAGCGTTAGAGATGAATTCTTAGGCACTGAATATAATGCATTTTATGACATCATCAAAGATGGGAAAATGAGATCAAAAAATAAGTTAGGACACAGCTAGCCAACTACCGATGAGGATGTTAGAGGATAAAGTACTAGTAACATCATTTGAATTAAAGAGATCTTCGAAGTAGTGACTAAAAATGGCCACATTGTGAGGATGAGTGTCAAAACATCCAACATCCACAAATAATTTCTAATAGAGTAAGACATGACCGCATAAATGACGGTGAACTTCAAAGATGTAAAAGTTTAGGGTTTAGCACATCAATTAGAAATATGAAGCTAAATGTCCAATTATAAGAGCTCAAACTACACTCTATCATATGTCTTATAGGGTACATAACAGGTAGTCAACTCCTTGCAACAAGAGAACTCACTTTTAGCGAGTCCCATAACGGAGCTTGCTCAGAAAGCACTGGGCCTTACTCACTTGAAATAGCAGAAAAAAGTTGCTCACCGCAGGGGTAGTCAGATCTTTATTGACCTCAAGACTCATCACTCACTTCACACCACAAACTGTCTGCTAGAACTACTCGCCAACAACTACAGAGGTGCCCTAGATATAGGTGAGTTTGGTAGAACCAAGTGGGTGCAGGCAACCCTGCTAGTGTCGAGTGGGCATGGATGAGTCTAAAAGTGTAAAGTGGCCACGAGCGAGTCTAGTAGTGCTGAGTTGGCTGAGCAAGTTTTTTAAATTATATTCTAAATCTCTTTAACATGTTCTCAAGCACCTTATCCATCTTTTAAGACTAACCATCCACAACTCGAGCCTTAAAAAAGTCAAACCAACCAATTAAAATCTCTTGATTAGTTTAAGCTTTCTTGCACTTAGGTTTTATTCTCCATACCACTGCAAGACCTTTAGACTAATAAAACTACCATCTACTATAAATTATAAGTTCATATCCTAATATCATATTCGACAATTATTTTCAGCCATTCTCTCCACTTAAAACCTATTCTCTAAAACAAACTTTTAAATCAACCAAAATTAGCTCACTACCCGTCATTCTCTTAATCATAACCTTCCACCTTTGTGGCCCGACATAGTTGCCAGACGAACCAACAAGAAGGGATTTATGGAGGTTTGAAGTGTTGACCTTGTTAAAGGGGCTTTCTAATAAGGATGGAAGAGGGGTCCTCACTTTGATAAAAAATCTATTGACATAGAGTGGGAGAAGAGGGTGAGGGGAAAACATGGTAGGAAAATAGAGAATATCAATCAAGAGAAGTGGGAAAAGAAAACATAGCAACACATGGAGGGAGAAAATCTTGTAAAATAAACAAAATATATTTTTTACTAAATTTGTTTGGTTGAGAATAAAATTGTTGGATTTTTTTTTTTCTTATAAGAAAGCATCGTTATTGAAGATTCTATGAACCAAAATAAAGATTACACAAAATATCAAAATATCCAGCTAACCAGAAATACACTCTAAGCTTTGATAAAAAGAGCACAACGCAAAAACCTATAAAATGCATTGAATTTATAAGAAAAAAGGGGAAAAATGTTCATGATATAGCATAAGCTCACATAGAGAAATATGTTGATTAGTTTCACTCTTTCCATCTATAGTTGAAAGGTCAAGTGTGAAGCCTATATTATCTTATAGACATCAAAATCAATTGAATTTAATGATCATCATCACGTAGAGTCTATCAAAACATTCAAAAGAAAGTACTTAATTTCAAGTAGAATCATAAACCAAAAATTTCACGCGATCCCGGGATCGCTTAGCAAAAACATTGAAATGCAATAGTAAAAAAGCAAAGGAAAATACCAAAACACAAAACATCCAGTAATGAAAAACACGGTATATTACAAATATGATAATTAATTTGCAACAAAATTAAGCGAGATAATATTAATTGAGAGCCATCAAATCATATTCATCTAACAATCAAGATTCAAGATAAATTTGATGTAGATGAAATTTCAATTTAATATCTTAAGAATTATTCTTAAAATCTTTATAAAAAAAACCCCTCTCTTGTCCATAGAGGTAATGATGACCAATTTAGAAGTCTTATTCATTGCTTACTATAATCAATCCTCATGATGTAAAGGTTAGAAAACCTTAGAATAAAGTCGACCAAAGAACAATCAACACTGAAATTATTATTTTTTTTATGAAAATAGTACCTATACGTTCAAAAAAGTCCTAAGAAAGGATAGAAATAAATAATTAGTAATCAGTGCATAATACATCAATGATAAGATGCCTTAAAATCTTCCCTTCAATCAGATCAATAATATTTTACATAAAGATTCATTCTTATGCCACATTAATGATCAGGTGCATTGCACACAACTCATCTTGATCTATTGGTTGGGAGCTTATGCTACCAACTAAGAGGTTTTGAGTTCCAGTCTTGTATATGCGATGTGTGTTTGAATCTGTCTTAATTAGCCTAAATGTCCCCCCTCAAAAAATCAGGTGCATTGCAATTATATACTCAAATTTAGTTGTCATTAATGAAGGGAATTCCCTAATGAAACTTTAATTAGCTTCTTTAATAAGTGGTAATTGGCATCAATACGTATGAGATAAGAACACCACAAGCAAAATGATTTGGTTTGTGAGCCAACTTCATGGCTTCATTTGAAAGGAGTTTTTTATTGCTTTCCAAAATAATTTTTTAATACAAAAGATCTTTAAAGTAGAAAATTTTATTCTAAAAAATTGTTTTAAAAAACAATTACACTTCATTTGGGATGAATTTCTTGTATAAAAATTAAAATTTTTATACTAAAATGCTACTTTAAGAAATAGTATTAAGAAAGTCATCCCAAACGAAACTTTAATTAGCTTCTTTAGTAAGTGATAACCAGCATCAATGCATTTGAGATAAGAATACCACAAGCAAAATTATTTGGTTTGTGAGCCAACTTCATGGCTTTATTTGGGACAAGTTTTTTATTGATTTCTAAAATACCTTTTTAGTACAAAATTTTTTTAAAGTAAACATTTTTACACTAGAAAATTATTTTAAAAAGAAATTACGCTTCGTTTGAGATAGATTTCTTATATAAAAATTAAAATTTTTATACTTGTTGCGTCTTGGAATATTCGCGGCGGTAGAGAAATATATAGTTTAACGTCTTAGCATTGTACGAAGATCCAGCACACAATCAGATAAGTGAGAGGGTGTAGCATTCATAAGAGACACCAGAGTTTTACGTGGAAACCCCTGAAAAGGGGAAAAAACCACGAGGCCTGGCCCAGTTTGAATGAATCCACTAATATTTGTAGTCGATTACAAATGAGGCCCTTCCTTGGAAGAAGGCCTTGACTTGATGGTACAAATGTACATCATATAGAGCGCATTACATAATGGGAGTTACAATAATATACATGTTTTTTTGGTTGGAAGGGCTGTAGTTGGTACAAAATGGGGGTCCGAAAGATCGTAGATGGTAGGAGATTGGGGTCAGGAAGACCATTGTCTGGCGATGTAGGTCGGAAGGACCGTAGTAGGCGACAAAGGTCATGAGGACCGTAGTAGGCAGGAGACCGGGGTCTGAAAAACCGTTGTCTGATGATGGAGGTCAGAGTAACCATAGTAGGCGACGGAGGTCGGGAGGACCGTAGTTGGCAAGAAATAGGAGTATGAAAGACTGTAGTAGAATGGTGGTACTTCAGTAGAACTCCGGGCGTCAGGTGGTGGCCTCGTGGAGCTCGGGGCCTCAAGTTACAGTCCGGCGGAAGTCCGAGCCTTAGGTGGCAGCCAGGTGAAGCACAAGACCTCAAGTAGTGGTCCGATGGAAGTTCGGGCCTCAAGTGGTGGTTCGGTGGAGCAACGACGTCAGGCGGTGGTTCGATGGAGGCGAGGGCCTTAAGTGGTGGTCCGGCGGAGCAACGACGTCAGGCGGTGGTCCGGGAGAGGCGAGGGACTTAAGTGGTGGTCCGGCGAAGCAACGACGTCAGGCGGTGGTTCGGCGGAGGCAAGGGCCTTAAGTGGTGGTCCGGCGAAGCAAAGGCGTCAGGCGGTGGTCCGGCGGAGGCGAGGGCCTTATGACGAAGCAACGGCGTCAGGCGGTGGTCCGCAGGAGGCGAGGGCCTTAAGTGGTGGTCCGACGAAGCAACGGCGTCAGGCGGTGGTCCGGTGGAGCAATGGTGGTGGTCCGACGAAACTCCGGCGGTGGTCGAGGAGGCAAGGAACAAAAGCGATCTCCGATCTCCCTCTTTTTTCCCTTACTCTTAGGGGGGTTCCTTTTCAAGAGGAGAGGGAGCACTATTTATAGATTTCTGAAGTGGCA